TATTGTAACAGCGCAACTTCATCACCATCAACATCCACACTATCATTACCATCTACAACAGCGCACCGCCTGCACGGGAGCTGTGTGTCTTATGCAGGAGCTCGCGGGGCAGAATTGCTCCAGGGCTCGGCCAGTAAAGCCGGTCTTTTTTATCTCCACTTTGTCTTTCTTACAATATATATATATATATATATATATATATATATATATATATAGGTCAAAGATGCGTACTCTCGGAGTTACTAATTCGAAGTTTATTACGACGTTTCGAGCGGGGAGCGGTCCCCGCTCGTAACGTCGTAATATACTTCGGGTTAGTAACTCCGACAGTACGCATCTTTGACTGATTAACTTTTCCCGGTCCATTGTTTTCATATTTACCTTACTTCACACAGACACACACACACACACACACACAGACATATCTATCTATCTCTCTCTCTCTCTCTCTATATATATATATATATATATATATATTAAATCCGTCAGTGACATTATACAAAACGTCAGTGAAAAACCTTCTACATTTTTTTCTTTCTGTGTTCCACAATCGCCCCTAGCGACACGTTTCAGATAAAACTAATACCGGGTTTGGTTTCCCCCAAGCTCTCTACATGATCGTCAATTTACCTCATTTCTTCATACTGGCTACTGCAGGTCAGGACCGCCGGCGGTTTTGAAAAATCGAGTTGGATGGACATCTCAGAATTCTACCTTATTAGTTAATACCTCGAAGGCGACACGTACTGAATACATGTAGTAATTGTAGGGCTGTGGCAGGTTTAGAAATATAGACTTTTCATTATAAGCTCGACCAGTGATTTCAACGAAGTATTCTTAATCCTAAAGTTAGATTAAACTGAAATGTATTGCCAGAGGCACCACTCGCCGAAGGTAACTCTGTCGAATGGCCACGACATTTCAAGATCCTCCTCGAGGTTAAAGCTAATATTTTTATTTTTCGGGTAATATCGGGTAATATTGGTTGCCGGTAAATAATCTGCGGTTACAGTTTCGGTTTTTATCAATTTCAAATCACGGTTTTGTTCGGGTTACGGTTACTGAACAAATTTCGTTCCTAAACGGTTTTCGGTTTCGGTTACGGTTACGGTTTGAGTCCCCGATGTCATCACGTAAATCCCGTTGATATACATTTGCCCGCTACATCTGTTTTATGCGCACTCTACAAGAACGTACTAAACTGGCGCCTAGCTGATGACAAGTGAACTAATCTCAAGGGAGGGACTGACAGGCGTCTGCTTGCAATGAACGTGCATTTTTTTTTTCAAATAATAAAAATGCTGAATTAAACAAAAAATAAAGTTGACAAACACCTTTGAGCGGCGGATTGATAAAATTGCTCGGGATGAGCGCATTAAAGGAATACTAAACCGAAATTTCGAGCTCACAAGACAGGGCTCGAGCGATAGGCGGGACGCAGCAGTAACCGAAGACACGACTCATGCAGCGATATCTCTAACGGATGGCCGTATTTCAGAAAAAGAAATGCGCGAAAGAATGGCCGTATTTCAGAAAAAGAAATGCGAAAGAAAGGCCGACGAGACATGTGACGTCGCGATTTTCATTCTCTCACCTCCTCGTTTCTTCTTGTCAATCAGTCCACGCGTGATCGCGTCATTCTTTTCCAAAAATACGGCCATCCGTCTTAGACATCGATGTATGAGTGAGGTCTTGGAGTTGCTAGCGTCCCGTCCAATTGTACTGTGGCCTTATCTTGCGAAACCCGAATTTCGGTTCAGTATTCATATAAGCTTCTAGTATTTTTGGAAAGAAAATTAAGGGAAAGAGACGTTACTTTACGATTAGGCGAGTACTTTTCCGCATACTGTTCTAGTTCTGCACATTGTGGGTTGAGGGAAACACCACGAAATCGTTCAATAAAACGCTTTGAATTTCCTTTACACGAGGCGTGTGAAGCCCAGTACAGACATTTACAACGCGTATTACTCGGGGAAAAATGCTCAGCCACTGATCTCTGGGCGCGTGCCCAGCGTCTGATATAACACGAAACAGAACAACAGCGCATTCCCACAAGGCTGGCACAGCCCAGCTGACAATGATGGCAGCGCGCATAAGGCGATTTTTTTAAAGGGTTCATTGGCGAGGAGATCAACCTATAGGCGGCGCTACGTTCAGCTTGTTTTCCCCAGATTTTTCTGTTTACTAACACAAGGCACGTGCAATGGATTCCTTACTTCATCGTTCTAAATTGAGCACGGGGAAAAGATCGGGCCCGGCTTATGCCCAATTTTCTCCCGCGTCCACGTTTGCCTTCACTGATTCAACAAGAGCCCCAGCCAAACGCTGCACCCGCGTTCGGCTTGGTGTGTCAAGCGCTGCGTCAATACACAAATAATATATGTTGTTGTTGTCCTCATCGGCGTAATTTTCCATTTATCCCACTTGGGGCACGGCGGTTGGATCTGCTACCTTTTTTTGCGGTTTCCATGTCTCTTAGGGTTCGGGCAAGCAAGCGGGCACGGAGAGAGTAACTAAATATCAGTGCGTCATATTTTAGCCTGACGACACTGAAACCTCCTCCACCGACGAGGGCGACCCGCAGTACCAAAAGCGAGCAAAATGGGACGTCTTTGGTCCTGGGCTTACTACTGGTCAGAGCCGCTAACACCTTCTTTTTAGTCGAAATACAAAATATAAGCGGCGTGACCGTTTCAATTATTTATAAAAGTAGATTTTGTTCAGTATTTTAGATCAGAAAAGCAACGAATGCAGTTTATAAAGTACGGAAACAAGAAATGACCCGTCGAAATACCAACCACCAAGCGGTGAAAAAGGCGGCGCATACTAGAAATGAGTAGAGGGATCAGGCGCGACGCGGAAAGGTCTCGGATGTACGCGGCGGCGCTGCGGTCGTATGGACAGGAGGATTCGACCGGCTCCGAGCGTTCCGAAGGCCTTCTGCGATTTGGCCGTTTCGCGGTAAGGCAGTGCGAAGTGGCTCCGATTCTGAAGTAATCTTTATCCCGTGTTTGCTGTCGTTTGTGGCCAATGAAGTGTCATGCGGAATTAGTGTTTAATTGCACGCACAGCAAATGCAATGAGAGCCGCTCTTGCCGCCCGCTGCATACAGCCTATCCAGAACATGCTTTAGTGGCGCCCTCTTGCGCCGTCGACAAGGAGTGCGGCAGTCATGAGCGCTCGATGAGCTCACTACCCCTCCTCTAGTTCACGGCCACTCAAGCAACCAAGGACGTCATGAGGGACGTTACTTTTTGGTTGTTTTTGTAATATTAATTTTCCTATAACTTTTAAAACAAAGCGAGTTTCGGGAGAAAAGTTTCATTAGGTTACTACGTTCAGTGCGCTCAGGTTCGGTGCAAATTAAAAACCAGTAAAAAAAGTCTTTGCAGGGCCCCTTTAACAATAAATACCTTAATAAACATGAAATACCGGACCGATTCGTTTAGACTCTTTCAATTATGCACTTCTGTACGCTGCCATCTTTGTCTTACCGGACTGCGAAGGGCGCTTTAAGTATGTTGTCCATAGCTTTCATAAGCGGTATGCCACACGTCGCGCCTGCGTTCGCAGCCCTGTATATTAACATTTCTCGCCTGCATGATAAACGAAAGAAAGGTCTTAAAGGGGTCATGAAACGATTTTCCTACTTCTTCCTCCTTAGCTTTAATCCTCAACTCAAATGCGAATTGTGAAATCATGTGGTCGTGACATTCCTTCGGCACCGGTGCGATGACTCCTAGCTTCCACCGTGCTTTTTATGGACACCATAGAACTTGTCATTCCCTAGTGACAATAAGTTTCGTTAGGGCACTCATTGGCCACGAACGCGAATCCAAATATTCGTCGACGGATTGATTGTTGACGAGCGCATACGTCCGAGTGACGCAGTTCTGGTGTCCAATCCGTGAGCTGGGCTCTGCTGACGTCAGTTTGGCGCCGGTGACGCGCTTTTGGAACCGCGGATGTATCATAGTGAAAAGGCGGAGAGCTTTCGAAGGCAAGAACGTACAAAATAGTCCGCTATATTTTCAAATGTTCGTACCGAAAAGCTGGCTTTTGACTTTCTAGCATCTTTCTTTTGGCCAACTAAACGATATACGATTAGTAAAGTCCCAATTTAAAATCATTCATCTCAATCCAAAATTTGTTTCATGGCCCCTTTAAGCTGCGATCTGGGTTTTATCGCTTGAATTTCTTATTATAAAAAAAGGTCAAAGTCGCATGTTTTGTTTGAAGAACAGCGCGCCTTTAATTCGATGTGTGCTCATATTGGTACCAACTCATAATTTAAACAAACAACCCTATCAATCTGATTGAAAAAAAACTCACCGGGTGTGAGTCAGCGCGTTTTTCAAAAAGAAGAAAAAAGAGCGATTGTATACAACAACACAAGCCTTTTTTTACACTGCTTCGCTATGGACAGGAGATACCAATAGTTCTTTTTTGTTAAGTCAGCTCAGAAAATGAGAGGGGGGTACGTCGTCGCGCCTGATGAAAGGCATCTTGATGGTCACGCATTCTCTGGGTCAAGAAAATCGCCAACCTCTTTTTCCAATGATACTGCGCTATTATTGCAGCCTAAATTTGATCGCCCTTCTAGTGAATTGAACCTATTGATAGCAGTCCCATGATTGAGTTTTGAGCGCACCGTACGGTTCAGTCTGCCTATAATATTGAGCTTGGATATAATGGCGCAAACAAACAAATCGTAACACATGGTTCACCACTAGTATCTTTTACCGTAGGATCCTGATTAATATCGCTTTTTTTTGTTTCGTGTTATTTACCGGTATTAGTGAGTGCTATATTAACGCGCGCAAAAGCCTTGCGTACACATAAGATGCGTCGCCACCACCGTGCATCAGAAAAGCCAGAACCGTATTTCGGATGGCACATTGCGACGACTCTATGTTTTTGCGCAGGCAAAACTTTTGTGTCAGCTGTTCTCAAACTCGCTATTATTAACTATTCTATATTGTTTTGCCTTTTGCGTTTAGCGGCTTAATTACACCACCCTTGGCCGGTTACGTCGTCCAGGAAATTGGATACAGAAATGGAACCGCGATCATGTTCGTACTGTACGCCGCGTGGGTAAGTTTTTTAAAATTATTTTTGTATCTCCTTTGTGCACATTTTTTATGTTCAGTATGAGTGGTGTTTGTTTACGAATTATGGCGTAAGTTTCCATGGTCATTCAAATTTGATTCGACCATATATCGTGTCAATAACCCGTTCGGGTTAACCCTCTTTAATAGACACTTTCAGAAATTCAGTCGGGCCACATCATTACCTATCAACACCTAAGTGCGTATCATTTGTACATGCTGATGGCTGTCTGTTTATGGTTTATAAAGTAAGAGTTTGAAGACAGACACCATGCGGAGCGTGAAATCGCCAGACATTAGACCACTGTATTGTTGTTCAACGTTAGTGTGACTGGACTTGTAAGCTCTTGTGCGCCACCCATCTGAGGATGCATTTTGTGAATCCTTGGAATACCCGGCTTCGGCATGCGCCACAGTCCAGAAAGCCCATGCCAATAAAATGTGAATATTATCAAGAGGTCTACTCAAGTAGGCGCCTCGAGCGGAGTGGTGATTTCTTGACAACATTCAAATTCACACCAATATAGAAAGAATTGTACAGCGAACAATTCCCTAACTTTGGTACGTCTGCTGTTGCCGAAGAAATACTAGATTTTAACCGCCATTTGCGTACACACAATTATAAAGATATCTAAGGCACTCTATGTCACTAAATTTCTTAAACGGTCTCTTGAGAGGACGCACAGACCATATGCAAAACGATGTGCTATCTAGTGTGCTTAGTGTCAATGACGAAGTTTCCGCCATATCAAAGAGTTATCGTACTGATCGTTTCGACCGAGAGACATTAGTCGTGGCAAAACGGAAGTTGTAGGGTCAAAATATTATATCATACTTTCAATCTAGTACGACCTCTTTACACAGAGTATTCCATGAAGACTGTTCACTTACCAGGATGTCCCATTTGATAACTTTGGTGGCGAGTTTTGCCATCTACCTGAAGGTAGATGGCAAAACATGTTTATTTGTTTCACGAGTGTATTAACTGCATGCCATCGTTTAACATAGTCCAGCCATTTTCTCTGTGGCAATTTTTATTTCTGTACCGCATTCTAAAACCTATTTTGTGATTAACTCCAATATTCGCCGCTGTGACCACGGATCCAAATAAGTGTTTTACGTTTGTATTAAATTTTCCGAAAGCATTAATAAACCTGAATCTGAATTTGAATAAGGCGGTTCTAAGTAGCATGATGATCATAGCTGGCATGTATTTGGCATGAGGCCTGTTAGACACCTTGGTTTATATTTTCAGATACCTGTGACATTTGGGCTGTGGATGCACTCTCTATTCTCGCTTGAATCATCTGGAGAGTTTTAAATAATTTTTTTTTTCTGAAAACGCACCAGCTGATATTCACGTTAAGCTATCCTGGTGTTAGTTCGATTTCTGCATTTGTTTTGTAAAAAGCTGCGTGGTTTCGTTTACAATAGCTGTTGTATTCGATCTCGCGCTAATAAAATCTTGCCAATAATAAAAACTTGAACCAATGTTTCGTGTCGATCGTCAATATATATTCGAAATACGAAACTGCATTTGTAAAAGGGATGTGACTTATTGATTGAAACTTTTTTCGCTGCAGATACCAGTCACTGGGAGGTCTGTACATATACATACTTTCTTAATTGATTTCTTCTGGAGCCGGGTACCCTTGCAGAATCTGTGTGGCAGCCCTTCAGTGCCCCGCGGGAACCACGTTTTGGAGGAGCGTCGCACCCACGTCTGGACACCTTCTTCATGCGTATCAATGACCGCGAAATGGCGTCCTGGCAGGGGTTTCTTCATGCCGCTCAAACGAGGATAACCACAGGGGGCCCAGTCAGGCTATACCTATGCACGGCCTAACGTTCGGCTAGTCGTACGACGTGTCAGAAAGACGACCGAACCTTATCAGGTGCCGGTCAATCACAGCGTCGTGTGAATTCACGTGATCCCCCCTATTGGCCGCCGCCAAATCGGACACCGCCGTCTTTCTGACGCACCGTATGACCAGTCGGACGTTTGATTATGCATGGGTGAGCCCTGACTTGGCCCCCAGTGGTCATCATGTGCTAAATGACATTAAAAAAAAAAAATTGAGACCGCCAATTTGAGGTTATTTATAAGCTCAAAGCACCTCTCCAGGCGTGGGTCTGAAGGTCTTCCAAAAAGTAGTTCCAGCACTGCGTCCCAACTTTCCAATCCCTTTGTTTTTGTTTAGGCAAACATCACTGTTTTCAATTCTTTTCTTTTTTTTTTTTGCTTTTGTGATGGATGTACTTTGTATTATTGTATAATTTTTTATTTTTTTTATTTCCTTATCCCTGCTTTTTACTTGAGGGGGCTGAGGACCAGTCAAGGTGCTTGGACAATTTTGTCTCCTCAGCTTTTGCCATCTTTACATGGTAAATAAAATTATTATTAATAATATTATTAACAATATTATCATTATATAAAAAATACTAGTGCAACGTTTTCGGGCAAAGCCCGATAAAATGACTCATCAGCTTCTCCCCTCCCAAACTCAAATATAGCGTCTGCGTCCCCACCAAAATTAACGGTTTGAAACCAATTTGTAAAACTAAATTCGGTTTAAAATCAATCCGGAGGCAGTTCGGAAAAAGACCCTTCTGTTAGCACAAACCGGTATTTTTCGACTCGGTTGTAAAGTCCGAACAGAGAAAATCCGGATAGACAATCTCCGGTTTGCACAAACCGGAATTTTTCGACTCCGGCTTAATGTCAAACCGGAGGAAATCCACTTAGACAATATCCGGCTTTCACGAACCGGGATTTTTTGACTCCGGTTTAAAGTCAAGATCTGCAGAGACGATCTCCGGTTTGTACAAAGCGGACATCGAAATCTCCTGTTAAAGACCAAACCGGAGAAATTCCAGACAGACAATCTCCGGTTTGCACGAACCGGAGTCAACAACTCAAATTCAAAAGCAATCTGGAGATTGTCTGGACTGAAAATCTCCAGTTTCCACAAACGGTACTTTCTCAAATTCAGTTGAAAAAAAAAAATGTTTGGGCAAGTCTGAACAGGTAACCTTCGGTTCGCACAAGCCAAACATTGACAAGTCTGGTTAAAATAAAGTTGGAAATAATCCAACTTGGGGAGAACTGTCTCAGGGTGCAGGTAAGTAATGCAAACTGATAAGCGGTACCGAAGCGGAATATGATGGTGTTATCATCCTTCTTTCGTTCCGCAAGTTATTGGAAAAAAAGTGACTATACTGTATGTTTGCCGCGTTTCGTTCCGATTCCCTAAACGATGCGTGCTAAATGTTTCTTACAGACAGATGAAGCTATACGAACTGCAGATTTAGAAAAATTAGAAGGTCAACACCTTTTTAAATAGGAGGTTGGTGCGCCGTTGAAATATGCCAATACACATATGGTTCATATAGAACATAAGCAAGTTCTGTAGAATTGCTGTTAGCCTGAAACTTTTAATTAATTTACATTAAATTGCCACATGGCACTAATACACTCATTAAATCGAGAGGAAGCAAATTTATTGTCATGTGCTAAATGAACTTCCCTAACAGCATAAAGATTGTCATGTCCTAAATGAACTTCACTAAAATCATAAAGATTGTCATGTCCTAAATAAATTCACAAACAGCATCAACACATTAAAATAATAATGCATTATTGCGTTCGTCACACTTCCTTGATTCATTTTTTACTAACAGGTTAAAAAGCCTTAAAAGAGCCGACATACTTAAGGAAGCATAAATAGAGGGGCTGCAGTATGACCTGAAAAAGCTACCAATTGCAGGCAGCCAGCTCGCATTTTAATCAAGTTTCCAAAGCATGCAGCCGCGTCTGAGAAATTAGAACATTCCTGTGAACTTTAGCCGCCGACAAAGATAACTTGGTGTACCGATCAAAGTGGGACCATGTTTCTTTAGTCTTGGAAAATTATTTTCGGACGAAACTGATATATTTCTCAGACATCCAACTTAGGTAAAAATAGTCAGTGTCGGAAAAACACCAGACCATTTGCTGCATGTGTTGTGTAACCTTGGCTGTGTGATACAATTATCTATTCCACGTCTAAAGGATGTGTCCACACTAGAATTACAACATGTATAAAAGTACAGTACATTATTCAATTTAATTATGCGACAATGTTACGCTTACCGTTTTTTCTCAATATTTTCGGATGGCAGAATGGTTTTAGCCCAGGTTACATAACACATCATCGTTGTACATCAATGGGGTTATGAAAATTTAAAAAAATTTGTAGCTCGAAATTAATGCTATAATCAAAGACTCACATACTGTCACAATTTAGGGGAAAATAGCATAATGCAATGCTTCCTTTTCTGACGGAATTTTAGGACAATACTCTAAATAAAACTTTGGAGCTTGTTCCTTTAAAATAATTTACTAATAAAATACCGTAAGCTGGGTGTAAATTAAAAGTAATCTCCACGAAAAGTAAAGAAAATATCCTGATGGGTTGAAACAGGAAATCCACTCCCTACTCTAGTGCACCCGAAACAGATGGCATGTTTGTTGTAGTTATGATTTACACATTTATTTATTATGCCTATACAGCACGGGTGGCCAGGCTGACCCGGCCTAAGAGTTCCGAACTAAACCACAAAACTTCCAAGAGCCGCGCGGGGGGGGGGGGGGGGGGGGGGGGGGGACTTTTGTTTTGAGCAAGAAACGAAACTCGAGCTACATTCAATACATCCGAGTCAAAAGCAGTCGAACTGTACGTAAGGTACGTTTCATAGTAGCACAAGACAATGAAACAGCAACCTATCTTTCCATTTGAAACTAGTTTCATTTATATCTTTGGGGAAGTGCTCGTGTGACCGGGAGGGAAGCGGCAGTGTGTGTGGCGGGGGGGGGGGGGGGGGGGGGGTTAAGGCCGGGAGCCGCGAGCCGCACTTTAACATGCGAAGAGCCACGTGCGGCTTGCGAGCTGCAGCTTGCCCACCCTTGCTATACACCTTTCCAAGAAACACTCGACCACAGGAACAGCAAACCGTTTTCGAGCGCATTTACTGGGTTCGAGGCTAGACTGTAACCCTAATGGAGTGGACAGTGATTTCGATAAGCGCAACCTCAGTAGGCGCAGTTTCAAACACTGCTGGCGGCTAAATTTTCGTATTTTCCCACTGTATTTTGTGTTTCGTTGTGCATGTATTTTCCCGAGTTCTTTGAGAAAGCAATGTACCACTATTGAAAAGAACAAACAGCACTAAAAAAACCTATAAACTATTTTTGTTGGGTACGCGCGCGACAGACCGAATGCGACTGAAATGTATAGTTCTTTTTTGTTTTTTTTACGATAAGTTTTGACGGCGCCGCGCGATTCGCCGTCAAACGACAAAGCGCTTAGCTGCCGAAAATAATTTACAAAAGAAGTTAGCCGAATGGCATTAGCATTTTTCACGCTCAAAAATAACATGTTTACCGATGGACAGGACACGGACATACAATTTAGCAAGTGTTAACATTCAAACAATTATTGTACGTACCGCACAATGCAGTGTTATCTGAAAAGAATAAATTTGAGAAAGAACTCAAATAACACAGTCACAGTCGACGACGGTCACAACTTGACGATCGGACGGAATCCAAGATGACTTCGTTTTGGGCCACATATTTGGGGAGAGCTTTCTTTTTTCACAACAGCACCGAGGCAAAGGAACGAACGTGACTGACCCGTTTCCCACACCAACCCGGACTACTATTTTTGGAGATGACTGAGGATTCTATGCAGATTATCTCTGGGAAGGGGGAGAACAATGTCCGCAAAATCGCGTCGACGGCCGTTCAACGTCCTTCACCTCCTTCGTTTCCCGTGAATGTCCAACAGAAAAGCTTGAATGGCAGGTACTTACCAGCCTTATTTCTCACAATGGAAGATAACACAGAAAGGGTACGCAGCACACATAAAAATAAAATTAAGTGAAAACTTTGAAGAGGGACCAGAAAACGTCGAATGCAAAGCCGCGAAAACATAGTTAGAGAACCGCGCTGAGCGGGTCTTCACAGCCCGAGAGAGTGGCAGAAACTTTCTAGCTGACAGAGGGCGTGAGAGTCGCAACAGCCGCATCAGCATCAGCAACATGGCGGCGGCCTAGGAGCGTTTTTTTGGAAAGGTGTATAACAAGAATTGTATTCATCCTATTTTATTTCTAAGTTTCTAAAGACATTGTTACGGTACCCCTCTATCGCGATTCGGTCAGTTGCAGTTTCGATTTTATAAAGAGCTCGCAGATCCCCATCTCTAGCGACACCAGTTTCTTCTCCTTTTTCATTTACCGACCTGGTTTCGTCGTGTTTCAGGTGCGTTTGTTTCGAGGGAA